CCCAGTGGTCTAGAAGAGAAACTCTTTGAATCCCATCCTTGAAACCATCCCATCCTTAAAATTAATCCCTCTTTTAATAGGTGGGGGGCCAGTGGGAATTCAGGACCTTATTCTCACCCCCCACGGTAACCCCAACATTTCCATTCCTAGGCCGTTCCAGTGGGATTTGCCCTGCTAGACTGATGTCCCTACCCCGGGCTCACGCCGTAGGTTACTGTGCCTTGCTTTGCCGACTCTTTCCTCCCTTCCTCCATCGCTCATGGCAACCGTTCAGCTCTATAGAGTGATACCTGTTCTCTGGACTGTGGAAATCCTATTGCTCGTCTCCAGGGCCAGTCCAGCATCCGTAAATACCCCCAGATTGTTCTTTCCACTGCCAGCTGTACAGCCAATGTCACTCTTCTCCACGGAGTCCCAGATCTGTGAGGTGCAAACACAATGGTTGAGAGATTATTGTTAACAATGGTACCTCCCATTTATACAGTGCCATCCAGCATGATTCCAAAGCATTATACAGGCTGTGACCAGATTCTGGTTTCAGGTACAGCTGTGCAATCTGCAGTAACTTCACTGACTTCCTTTGACTAGCTCCGTGTTTGCAGCAGTGTAAATGAAACCAAAATCTGAGCCGTAAGTAAAGGATTTATTGCAACTCAGTTCCCACTGAAATGCAGCCACCTCTGGCATGGAGCACAACAGCCATTCTCCACCAGCAACACAACCGATTTTAGGAGGAAAAAGAAAGAATTATGCAGCCAGTTGAACCCAGACAGAGGAGGATGTTAGGCAGAGAGAAATTAAATACCTAAATTAGAATTCAGCCAGAGCACCAGGACCCTAACCCTTGTTGAAAGGGTCACAGGACATTTAATGACCAGAACCTCTGTTTGATAAGTCAGCTGACAAATGGCAGTTTCAGTAGCATTGCATCCCCTAAAACCTTGATAGGGCCCGGGGACCAGTGCTGACTCAGAAGAAAGCGCACCCTCTGTTGAGTCACTAACGCTTTTCCCTGTAGCACAGCACCCCCCAGTGTTGCACTGGGACATTGGGTTCAGCACTGACTGGGAGGGGACAGCACCCCCTGCTGAGCCCCCACTCCACTCAATGCAGCACAGCGCCCCCTAGTGCCGCATTGGGACATTGGGTTCAGCACAGACTGGGAGGGAGAGCGCCTGAGCACACCCCCACTCCCTGATGTACAGCACCACCATGGGCACTGGGGTGAGAACTGCCTCTGAAGGGAGAGCGCCGCCTACTGCATCACCCGCACAGCTCCCTACAGCCCAGCACCATCTGGGTCAACAGTGTCCAAAGGGCAGGGTGTCCTTTAGTGTGTACAGAACAGCTCCCTGCAGTACGCTGGGTTTCACTGGGTGTCTCCCAGCCAAGTACTGACCTGGCCCGGCCCAGTTCAGTTAAAGTACAGTGGAGCTCACACCCCAAGCGGCAGGTCTGCAAACAAAAGGCTCACTTTGCTTTGGGGCGTAGAGCAAGGATAAGAACCGAGCTGCATTTCCCACTATAAAACCTCACAAGTTACAACCAACATCTTTCATGCCCCACCTTAGATTGTGTAATTTTGTGTTTTTTGTTCAGAACGTAGACCCCTTTGTCCACGGCAACCAGGCCGACATAAGCTCTGTGGTCTCCTTCCAGCTTGAGTTTCATTGGAGTTCCCGGCTCATGGATTCTCCTGTCTTCGTTGCTGGCTCCTTTCACCACTAGCTGTATGAAAGAGAGTGAAGGGAGAGGTTTTGTTTTAAAGCAAAGGGAGCAGCTAAGAACCTGTCCTTTGCAAAACATAGGAGAAAAGGACGTCAGACCTCATGTTCCTTGAGCATCCAAAAGCCTGGTTCTGATCTCAGGGGCAGCTGTGTAAATCTGGAGTAGCTCCACTGACTTCAGTGCTGTTACTCCATATTCATGCTGGTGTAAACTGAGAGCAGAATTGGACCCAACGTCCATGAGGTCCCATTGTTCCAGCCATGATGAAAAGGTGACTTTGTCCCTCAGGCAGCCCTGGGAAATCTACAAAAAGTTTGAACTGTAATGGATCTCCTCCTCCGTGGGCCCAATTCTGATCTCACACTGGTGTAAATCAGGAGCAATTAACTGGAGTTACAGCAGCTCAGCATTGTAGTTACATCACAGTCAGGTCCCCTATAGGCATTTGGAGTCACATCTGCTGAATTCATGGGCCAAAAATAAGCATCTTCCTGCTGTTAGCCCCTAAGAGCCAGCCCAGCCCCGGGAGAGGGAGCTGGAATCAATTCTGACTTTCCACATTATCAGCAAAATGGCTAATTATGGTGCAGCTACAAAGCCAGATACTCAGCTGGCGCCAGTCAGTAGAGCTCCATCCACTTTAATCCACCATCCACAGCGTCTTTATTGCTGAGCTAGAAAGAACCTCAGCTTGACTCCCGGATCCTAGAGAGGGTTGACAGCATTGGCTTGTGGGGGCTTGTGAACATCTTTGTATGTGTAAACTGACCAAATCTGATTCAGAATTTGCTGGGAAACAGTCAATAAGAAGCCCCACGGTGCCATTTTTAGAGTCCCTTTTGAGAGTCAGTCGGCACTTTCAGGCTAGGAAAAACTCCCTCGTAATGACACCATCATAGGAATGAACATGTAGAAGGCCAACTTGAATATCCACCTACCGTTCCCATGCAAGTGTCCTGGATGTCCAGCCAGACCGAGTCTGCTACAATCTCCGAATTTCCTACTTGGTAGTAAGCCACGATGCGGAATGAAGGGATGAGGTCTGGAGTGATGGGCAGGGACATGGTCAACAGATTTTGTCCCACCTGCCTGGCCTGTCTTCCTACACGAATGATCTTCCCTTTATTCAGGATCTAACAGGGAAACATGAGACGTGGATTGTTAAAGGCCACAAAGGTTAGCAGAATGTGTGATTCAGATTCCATGAATCTTCCCATCCACCTTTTTTCTACTAGTAAGAGACGGTCACTTGCAACTTTTCAGATAAGCTTTTACATCTGAGCGGAGAGAGGAAAATAAGCTAAAATCCATGTGTTGCAGGAATAGGCTGTAATGGCAGTGTTACTAATATTTACCAAATCTCATTCCCAAATCTAAGTATTGTTTATGTTTCACCAACAGAGACCACCCCTCCTTTCCCCCACCCTATTCGCCAAATATACTTCATATCCGCGCTATATGGCAACTTTATTATTTGATTTGTCCAGCTGCCGGCAGCAGCTCACCGGGGGAGGCGGGTAGCTCAGCTGAGCTGTGCAGAGGGGTGAGTGTCCCTGGGAGCCAGTGTCCCCCCAAAAGGGGAGTCAACTTAGGGGAGAGTCATTGCTGCAGCCGAGCAGGCACGGACCCCTGCCTTAGAGTAAAAATACAAGCCAGATGCTTAATTGCATCTCCAATAAATGGAGTAAAGAAGATGGAAATTAACAATTTCATAATGGTTAAATTTTAACTACAGCACTAATAGAACCAAACAGGATTTGTATGATACAAATGTGTGAGTTTTTAGAAATAAAATAAAAAAATAATATGAAATGATTTTTAATGTATTGACAAATATTTTGTGTGATTTCACAGTACCTGCATCAATTAACTTGTATACCTGATTTAGAATTTAATGCAACACTGACACAGTAGAGTAGTGTTGTTTTTTTAACAAATTTGCATATATTCGCATATATTTGCATACATTTAATTTCTTTCGCAATCCCTTCGGCCCCCGAAGCCCCTTCAAAAATCTAATATGGCCCTCGTCTCATAAAGTTTGGAGATCCCTGCTCTAGTGCAGGGGTGGGCAAACTTTTTGGGCTGAGGGCCACATCTGGGTGGGGAAATTGTATGCAGGGTCAGGGCAGGAGGTTGGGGTGCGGGAGGAAGTGCGGGGTGTTGGATGGGGTGCGGTGTGCAGGAAGGGGCTCAGGGCAAGGGGTTGGGGAAGAGGGGGGTGTGGAGTGTATGAGGGGGCTCAAGGCAGGGGGTTGGGGTGGAGGGGTGCGGACTACAGAAGGGGGCTCAGGGCAGGGGTTGGGGTGCAGGAAGGGTGCGGGCTGCGGCAGGCGGCTCAGCGCAGGGGGTTGGGATGGAGGGGTGTGGGGTGCAGCGGGGGCTCAGGGCAGGGGGTTGGGGTGCACAGGGGTGCAGGGTGCAGCAGGGAGCTCAGGGCTGGAGGGGTGTGGGGTGTTCAAGGGGGCTCAAGCCAGGGTGTTGGGGTGCAGGAGGTGTACGAGGTACAGGCAGGGGGCTTGGGGCAGGGGGCAGGAGGAGTTTGGGCTCCAGCCCAGCGCCTCTTACCTAAAGCGGCTCCGGGCTGGCAGCGGTGTGCACCAGGGCCAGGGCAGGCTCCCTGCATGCCTGCCCGGTCCCCGGCCCCGCGCCGCCCCGCCCCAGGAAGCACTGCGGCCCCTGGGGGAGGGGCAGCACAGGGCTCTGCGTGCGCTGCCCTTGCCGCGCCTCCAGGTACCTCCCCCAAAGCTCCCATTGGCCGCAGTTCCCCGTTCCCGGCCAATGGGAGCTCCAGGGGACGGTGCCTGGAGGCAAAGGCAACGCACGGAGCCCTCTGCCCCCCCACCCGGGGGCCACAGGGACGTGGTGCCGGACGCTTCTGACAGCAGCGCAGGGCCCGCGGCGCAACAGGGGGCAATCCCGCAGGCTGGATCCAAAGCCCTAAGGGGCCGGATCCAGCCCGCGGGACGTAGTTTGCCCACCCCTGCCCTATGTCCTACTATCTGATTCCCTCTGCGTTCAGAGACTCAGGACTTTGTACATTCATTGTACACAGACAAAACTGTGTCTAAGGAAATACCAGACCATTAATTTCTATTCCCAGCTGGAACATCCGCAGGGCCCCGAATTTTGACTAGCTGCTCAGGTTGAAAAGGGGCAACAATATTACACACAACCAAGTCTGAGTATGGAGAGGGACATTTAAAACAGGGCTCATAGAGCCTGATATACAGCTCTTTGAAATCAATTGAGTCTCCCCACTGGTTTCAGTGGGCTTTGGAACAGGCACCAAATAAGCCAAGATCCTAAATGGAAGCCAACACATGCACTATAAACCTTTCACACACTATTATTTATTAATTACAGAACTTAGGTTTTATTTTAATTGCATTTTTCAAAATTCCATTTGTGTATAATAATAAGAAGAATTATCAGACTGACTGCTGGAAAAGGGAGTGTTTGTTTAGTCACAGTAGGTACAGCTTAGTTAATAGTAGGGCTAGTATCTTGCACTGCACTACCAATATGCCAGCAAGTCTGCTCTCTAGCAATGGGATGTTAGAGCAGTCATTCTGCCTCGTCAGCCCTTGGCCTCTCTGCTGTGACTTCCAGCAAGAGGACCATAGGCGCCAACTCTATGGGTGCTCTGGGGTTGGAGCACTCATGGGGAAAAAATGGTGGATGCTGAGCCCCCCATCAGCTCCCCCTTCCCTCCCCACGCCTCCCACCTGGCAGCAGGGGCAGGAAGAGGAGGGGTGGGGCCTTGGGGGAAGGGGTGAATTGGGGGCAGGGCCTGGGGCCGAGCTGGGGGTCGAGCATCCCCCGGCCCTTTGGAAAGTTGGCACCTGTAATGTGTGAGTCCTGTCCATTACAGATTGGAATGGGTCCATCAGCTCATTTCACTTAGGGCTGGTCTACACGAAGGGGGGGTCGATCTAAGATACACAACTTCAGCTATGAGAATAGCGTAGCTGAAGTCAACGTATCTTAGATCAACTTAGATTGACTTACTTCGTGTCCTCGCGGCACAGGATCGACGGCCGCTGCTCCCTCATCGACTCCGCTTCCGCCTCTCATCCTGGTGGAGTTCTGGAGTCGACGGGGAGCACGTTCGGGGATCGATGTATCGTGTCTAGACGAGACGCGATACATCGATCCCCGATAGATCGATCACTGCCAGCCGATCCGGCGGGTAGTGTAGACATACCCTTAGACAAGCCAATGATGCCTTCAGTGGCTCTGCTGACTAGGGTCAAATTGAAAGCCATAATCTATGGGGGGAAAGCCCCATTTCCCACTAATTTGAAGGTGCTTGTGTTGGTTTTTTTTTCACCATTTGGTGCATTTTTTTTCTGTCTTTTAAGTCCTAGTGATTTGTGTCTTCTGGATATTTTATTAATTATAAGAAACTTTGCCTGTTAATTAAGAGGTTCGGTTAGCAGTGTACACAATGTTGTGGCTAAATTAATTCATTAGCTCCTTTAAAAAAATAAAAACACCAACAACCAAAATGTGACCCTCCTGGAGCTATAGTTGATGCTGCTGTTCCACACCAACTACCATAAAATGTAACTAATTAGGTGAAAAGGAAAGAGCACATCCATTACATAGAAATCAGCCTGTCAGGCTAGCGGGGCGGGGGGGGGGGAGAGTGGCAAGGGGAAAGCACAGTATCAGAGCCAAGATTAGTGTCCCAGCTCATTAAGAGAAAGGTCTGGTAGAGATGGGAAGGGAGACTTCTGACAACACAGATTGGAATTCTAAGCAATTGTTACTTAATCATATTGGCATATGAGCCACTGCCTTGCACCAGCGTTCTGTAAATGCTATTTTTTTCTAAGGCAGGCAGAAGTGAAGTGTAACCAGTAACCTGTGTTTCACTCCATCAGCTCCCTGACAGCCCTGCTTTGGGAAGTTAATCTTTTTTCATTTTGTCTGTCATCTAGTGCTTTTTGCATACTCTACAGTAAGTAGGCTTCTAATGAATCTATTTTTATTTAAGTGACTGTTGGCTGGAGCCTCATTTGAAGCCCCACAATGGAAAGTTTCTTCAGCTCTGTTTTGCCTGGTGGGGTTGTTCTGAGTGGTTGACAGCTTGGTGAATCACAGCTGCCTCCACTCTTTTATAAAGTCGAGTTTTTCTCAGTGTCAAAAATGTTCATGTTAATACACAGACAAACTAGATTTTCATGATACTTTGCTAAACTGGATTGAGATGTCTACTGCCATGGAAACATAATAGTGTCATGGGGGACAAAAATTGCATGTGAAATCCTGGGCCCTAGCACAGTGGGGCCTCATTCTTGGTCGGTGCTTAGGCGCTAACCTAATAAATATGATTTATAAGCTAATAGGATCCTGGGATGCATAAAGAGGAGAATATCACATAGGAGTAGATCAGTTATTTTACCTTTGTATTTGGCACTGGTACGACTGCTCTTGAAATACCGTATCCATTTGTGGTGCCCATAGTACAAGAATGCTGATAAATTGGAGAAGGTTCAGAGAAGAGCCCTGAGACTGAATAAAGGAGTAAAAAGCCTGCCTTATAGTGATAGACTCAAACAGTTCAATCTGTTTAATTTAACAAAGGGAATTTTACTGGGTGACTTGATTACATTCTATAAATATGTACATGTGGAACAAATATGTACCAATGGGCTCTTCAGTTTAGCAGAAAAAAAGTATAACATGATCCAATGGCTGGAAGATGAAGCTAAATAAATTCAGACTGGAAACAAGGTGTAATTTTTTTAACAGCAAGAGTAATTAACCATTGGAACAATTTACCAAGGGTTATGGTGGATTCTCCATCACTGACAATTTTATGAATACAGTTTGGATGCTTTTCTAAAAGATATCCGCCAGGAATTAATTTGGGGAAGTTCTCTGGCCTGTGTTACACGGGAGGTCAGACTAGATGATCACAATGGTCTCTTCTGGCTTTGGAATCAATGAATCCTATAACTAATAGTAATCATTAATAATGGGAATTTTGCCATTGACTTCATCGGAGCCAGGATTTCACCCTGAACATTCAATACTTGAGTTTCAGCCAGTATTACTCTGTGACGTTATTGAGGTAGTGAGATAGCTTCATGCTACAACCTGAGTTCTACCATTGCCCTTTCTGAATGATGAAGTCTAGTAGGGAAGTAATGGGTCTACTTCAGTAGAGGTTATCATTGTTCCCATACAGGGGCACAATATTCCAATGACTGTTAAAGATGGCATCATGAGGCCCATCACCAATAAACCAACTTCTGATGCTGCCATTCTGACTATTGGCCAGTATTCTATCTCCCCAGCTTGAGAAAGGCCATTGAGTAGGTGGCAGCATGGCAATTCTGGCAATTTTTCGATTCCTCGGGTTTCCTCAGGAGGATTTAGTTGGGGATTGGTCCTGCTTTGAGCAGGGGGTTGGACTAGATGACCTCCTGAGGTCCCTTCCAACCCTGATATTCTATGATTCTATGGTTCCATATTATCACAGGTAGCACAGGGGGTTCTATTTTCACCCCTACTTTTCAACATGTATATGAGGTTGCTGGAAGCGTTAGAGAAGGGACATGGACTGCAATGCATTTTACATGCTAATGACACCCTGCTCTGCATCTGACCTGTTTGGAGCAATGGGACAAATAATCCTTGCTCCATTGAAGACAATGGCAACAATCCTATTGATTTAAATGGGGTGAGGATATCACCCGTGGTGCCAAGATGATCTTTGGGCTTACAGAAGGGTTCTCTGACTGCAACTTAAGAAAAGTCAGAGATAGTGTTCGTAGACTATCTACCAGCTCCTGGAGATGACAGTGCAGACTTTCTTTTCCACTACAGACTTTGCAATGTGGCAGAGAATCCTTTCTCCCTTATACTTCCCTGCACAACCACATTTGGACAAGAGACAATGCAGCCATAAATAAATATTGTAGAGCTATTTCACCTTTTTTCTCTTCATGACTTGTCTATGAACATATTTCAGAATTCACAGATTTGTTCATTATTTGAAATGATTTGCCTACATCTTCAGTGAATACTCTGTGGTTTGCAGATTCTTCACAAATCTTCATAGACCAATATTTGGAATTCACATTGTTACTGGTCCTTTGCATATCTCATATGGTTCCCTTATTAGGGGCCCAGTCCAACAGTTACTGAAGTCAATGGGACTTACCGACTACAGCAAGAGACGAATCACATCCTAGATAACTAGTTACGTAACTAGCCAACAGCAGCATGAATTATGAAAGGCACATATGAGTGTAAAATTTGAAGTTTGCTGGCTGTCCATATTCAAACTTTAAAATTTGGCTTTTGGGTAGTGAAGGTCATTCATAGCTCTAGTTGAAAAGAGATGAAAAATGTCCTTGAACATTTTTGACTAAATTTTGAAATTTTGAAAAAATGTCAACCATTCACTAGAATTGTTTGTGAATGCAGATTGACTTGGGCAGAGTTACAATGAATTAGTTTTAAAAACTAAATGAATGTTTTGAGGTATTCACCCAACTCTAAAATTACTGCATTATATATGTCAGTCAGGCACACATGACATCAGTTCACAACAGAAGATAAAGATCAGATATATTAGGGGAATCTACAGGCTACACTTGCTGAGATTGTGGACTTATTTTCCTATTGATGAAAATACTCTTTTCCAGTTGAAATAGCAAACTGTTCTTGTTTTTCTTTCATCATAACCCAGAACCCTGAAATTAAACACAGCAGGTATGGCGACTTCCCAGATTGCAAAACAAATGTACACATCAGTGCTATTATGTGTATGCTGTTATTTTTAAGACCTGCCAGACATTCTAAAAACAGGAAAGTCCAGGGCAATTGATTGCTTTTCATTGTTTAAGTAGTCATAAAATTTTCAATTGACAATTACGTTTCATGACGCTCTTGTTAATATTTATGATCAGGATCAATATGGAGGGTGAGATTTTCAAAAACACTCTGCATCGGCTTTACTCCGCTTCCATTGAAACCAATGGTAAAACTCCCATCAACCTCAATGGAAGCAGTTAGTGTGGAGTGCTTTTGAAAATCTCACACCGGCTGCTTGTTGTCATGCTACCATGCGCTGGGATCTTCTTGAGATCTTCTTAAAAACTAAACAGAGAGACTGGGATAGTACTTGGATGGGTGACTTTCAATGAATTCAATTTGTATGTGCTGTTGTTTATTCAAGATGTGGTATTATTTTCTTTTCAGTCTGTATTGAGTCAATGAACCAGATTGTTACAAGGCAACCGTGTGAAAGAGGATAAATAGGAACACCTGATTTACTTTTTCTGTACAATTCATTATTTTGTATATATCCATCATCTCTTTTTCTATCAGGTCTTGTCTTCAAAAATAAACAGTTCCCATAGCCCCAAGACATATCAGATGTGGTGCACACAGATACTAATAGTCCCAATATTGCAAACACTTACACGCACGATTAACTTCACACGTGTCAGTAGCTCCATCCAAGTCAATTGTGTTTTCAAATGTCCAGAAAAATAGGCCTTTTGTGTCTGTAATATTTTTCTGATTAGTTGACAAGACGTGCTTGATGTCAATGGAATTGTGTGTGTGTGTGTACGCTTGAAATGAATGGATTTACATCTTCTGTGTGTGTGTAAATTCAAGGATGTGAGTGTTTGTAGGATTGGGGCCTTTAAGTGAAAAGAGCTCTAATTTCTTGTCCTTGGAAAACATTTTAGATTTCTGTCATTTCCAAACAGCCCAACAAGGGGCCAAACTTAAATTTCCACCCAAATCTCAGTGGGAGACAGCCTTCAAGCCTGGAAATGAATTCTCATCTCTGTATAATAGTTTCTTTCTAGAATTCCATATAAAGAAATGAAAAGAGATACTGCCGACCTAAACTGACATGTATAGAAATGGCCAGCAGGCAAGCCAGCAGTTTGTTGCTGACCACTTTTCTGTCCAGCTTCTAACAATGTCTGCAACCTCAATGGTGTTGTTAGAGCTTTTTACGCCCCCACCCCCTCGATCAGTTGTTACGCTGATGATTTTTTTTTTAAAGCACAAATGAGAGTAGAGCAGGGGAGCGACAATCT